AACATCACAGTGTCTGAACCTCAGCTATATTCTCCCGGTAACGTGCACTGGTTGGCTTTGGTTAAGATTTGACTTTGGCTAGTTCTGCCAAAACCGGTAACTTTTGCCCAGAGTGTGTGTTTGTGCATGTAAATGTATTATGAGAGGGAGAATGAGAGTTTCTGTAACTTTGAATTTGTGTGTTGCATATGTCAACACTGGTCAATATTTAAGGAGTGCTGTGATCACAAGGTTTCAGTGGTATGCAACTTGTTTTCCACCAACATATACCATTTCCTAATGGTACACGCCTTTTAACACTGATATACCACTGCTGGCTCCACAAGTAACTGACATTAGACTGCCACACTTATACCACCTATTGATTAATGTGCAAATTTGGTAAATACAGATACTTTTATGACAAGTACAGCTGTAAATCTTTAATTGTTTTACAATTTTGTATTATCTTTATTGACAATGTACCATGTCATAGCAAATGAGTTTGCCATTGTTTTGGCAAATTTATTTGTCCAACACGATCATGCATTGGGTCACATACATTATGACTGAGGGAATAATATATGTTGCATAATGTTCATTATTCCCCATAAATGCAAATGACCCTCAATCTGCCTTCCTTTTCCCACTTCTGATCAAACAGCATAGGCCTTTTATTCACTGACATACCAATGCTGTGCTAATAGTGACACTTCCTTATTTTTAGGTGCATATCTCATAACAGCTTTTTTTCCTTTCAAAAACCTCACATTATTTAATGAGTAAGCCAAATTACTATTGCCACTTAGCTAACGAATGACCCATCAAATGATTACATATACCCATGTTCTGCAAAGCTGATCATTTATGTAATGTAGCAGCATATCAACAGGTGTTATCTAGCTTAGTTAGCTGACACAACGTCAGTCAGGTCTGTTATGGTCCAACGCTTGTTGCTTTCAATGTGGGCTACAAATGAATTTACATGTAAATAAAATGACTTCTCACCGAAACTAAAATGTCTTGTATCCAACAGAAAAAACAGTAGTAGTAACGTTGTCACTGATTCCTTCAGAAGCCATATAATTACTGTCATCTTCCCAGGGTAAAGTTAGTTGGATTTCTGTATGTCTGTGAAACACGCTGTGAACCTGCACTTACAGGTAAATATACAAGCATCACAGTACAGTGTAGTATCAGGCCATCACAGATCCTGCAGTCAGATGAGGCAGTATTTTCTGGGTGAGGGTGGCAACACAGTAAACTGGTTTTATTGTCATGATCACATGATCAGATTGGTGCTAAAAGAAAATGGAGATGGAGACAAAGGGATGCACATTTTTTTGTCTGCTCTGTCAATAGCCCACACTCTAATCTGCAAGCTGCTTTATACATGGATTTGGCTTTTTAGTGATGTTATCTTAATCCAAATCATTTCATTCACCTCTAAGAGGTGGTTACCCGTTTCCAATGAGGGCAGCCTTTATTGTCACACTGTTCTCTCACAGGGTAACATTACAAATCCAGATCATGCTGATTCTCTCTGTGTAAGACGATCAAATTAGAGTCCTTTATGTTTAAAATTGTGTTCTCTGAGAATGTGCTCTGTCATCAAATTGGAGCTGAAAGAACCTTGTTATTGCCTATTTAAAATACAAAAATGTTAATGGACACCAGTTAAACAGTATAATGAACATTGAAAGCATCTAGTTTGCAAAAAATTTAAATATTTATTGAAGCTCTGGTGTGTACAAATCAAAAAAACACAGAGCAACAGGCAGTTAAGCAGCTGTATTGTAACATGCAGATGGCCCAGTTGGTCTTTTGTTTATGTCTGTCTGCATTTGACTTATGAATCAAATACAGCCTTATAAGAAAGAATTCTTGATTTTAAAAAAAAAAAAAGCATTTCATTTGTTAGCCAAACAGAACTAATGTTTAAGATTAGGATTTTTATTCCACTGATCTTTCAGATTGTGCCTAGAATTATCCCACTAATACAGCAGTTAAGTTCCTGCAGGGATTTTCCCTGTTCCTTCAATCCTTTGACCATTTAAAGCCCCTTAAAATACCACAAAACATTTTCCCTTTTTCATTTGTTAACTGTGGTTGACCAAAAACAGGTTACTAAATCTATATGGCCTTACCTTGATTGATCCTTAAGGGCTTGGTATACAATATATTTGTTTCCTTGACCTTTCAACATGAACATGGACTTTGGATACCTTGGCTTTTTCCTGTAGGAGGAAGACACGTCAAAGAAAACCGCTGTGTGGATCACTGGTATGTCATAAAAGCACCTAACATTTATCATCCATGCCTTGATCCTGGGCATTCCAAGTCCATGTTCCTGTTTGTATTGTTTGAATGAATGATCTGTGTAGTAGCCAGTCTGTGGGGGAGTGTGAGGTTATTACCTCAGTCTAAGGAAATCCTTACATTGTAGCTTGTGACAAAGGATGAGGGGTTGGGTATTCTAAAAATAGTAAGGGGGCATAGTGAAGGAACAAATGATAGACCTGTCATGATTTTAGTGTTGGTCAAGTTAGAGGCCTGATACAAACTGACTGGTGGAATGTTCAGAGGGCTTTTGGATATAGCCTTCTTTTCTAGACTTATGTTGTAATACTTACAAATATTGGTGGGTATACTGCTGATATATGTCATTCTTCAAGTAACAATAGTGTGTAGTATATTATAGTATTACATTTTAATAAATCACTATTTATCAAGGATTTATATGTTGTGAGAAAAGGCTTTATTCATCATTAAAGAATACAAATGCTTTATATATCGGTTATAAGAAAAACAAGAAGAACTTGTAACTGCAGTTACTGAGTTGCTGGCTGATCTAATAGGCCACACAACTTGTAGAAAAACCTGCAGCATATTTCAAACAAAATCCACTTATAACTTGACTTGGTGGTTTATAAGAAAGATATATAAGTTACATGAACCATGTATAACTTCATCATTATCAAACAGCAAGTATTCAATTCATGCAACTCAAAAGTAGCTATTATAATTTGTATGTAACAGATCTATAACACATAAGTTATATACGAACCATAGTAAAGCCACTATTTACAACTTTCAAGTTCTCCATAAAGAGTGCTTTATTGAAAAAGGTACCTACCAGTTTTATTGACTTGCTGCCCTGTTTGCTTTGCCACCAGCTCAATTATCAATCCATCAACTGTCACAAGTTTTGAAGCTGGTTGGTCTAGATCTGTCTAAAAACCTGCAAATACCTTTAATAAATACAGTATACTCCATGTGATTACTTTTTAGCACTGTAGACCAGGACTGCACTATTTTAAATCCATCTGTTAATTCATATACATCTACAAATATAGCATAAAAGTTAAAAAATGTAATTATTTTTTAAAGAAAGATTCTTGGAAAAACGTATTAAATATATTGTCCCAAAACACTTAAATCAGTTACTGTCACCTTATTGAGATAAAAAGATAGAGAAACCTTATAACTGCTTCTGGTCATTATAACTTTACTCTATTACTCTACATCTGTTTGCCATCTAATCAGCTGATTTATGGCGAGCTCTGGTCGACCCACCGCCCATCTTTTCAGGTAGTTGGCTGCTTGCTGCAGTGACTCTGTGGCCCAGGACTGCTGTCTTGTCAGTCACTCTCTCTATCCCACTGAGTGCCTCTAGTTGACCTTCCTCTCAGCGCTCACAGGCCCAGATTCTAAATAATAAATGAATCACCTGGAAAGAGCCAAGTGTGTGCGAGCCATGTAACTCGGCAGGGAAGTTAACAAAAGGTAATGAGAGCGATCTTGCTGACCGAGGTTAGTACTTGCACTGAAACATGTAGCATAGTAGCTATTTAACCGCTTTTCCACAACATCATGAGGTCAGTGTTGCCTTTGCAGTGCGAGTGGTAGAAAAGTGTGTGCCGGGCTGCAGGGAGTGTCAATCATTAATGAAAAGCGTCCCACCATCTCAAGTTTCCTTCAGGAGAGGAGTGGGAGAGGAGGGAGTTAAAGATAGGAGCTCAGGGGTTAAAGATAACAGGATTAGGAGAGCAGCATGAGCGGCGTGCCTACGTTGTACTGTAACACAGTACTCACATTTTCTCTCCCTGCCTTTTCTTCTTCTTCTCTCTCTTTCTGCCCACAGTTGCAGACAGAAACAATGTCATTGAGCAGCACGTCACTGAAGCCATCACACCTAACTTCTGCCAAAAAGTGTATCAACAACAACAAGTTGACTTTGAAGTAGTCTCCACTCACCATCAAGAAGATATTTGAATGCTGTGACTCAACATTACCTGAAGTAAACTTTGTGTGAATCCTACCATGCCCCTTATTATTGTTGTTGCTTAAACTCCCAAGTTCTTCCTACCTTGTGGATTTATCGCTTTCTGCAACCATATTTTCAACATGGATTGTCATGAACTCACTGCTGTTTTGGAACCAAGTATTGGACGCAAAGGCCACCGCTATGAAGTAGAAGCTAGAATGGAGCATCTAACCTGGGGAGTAGTTTGACTCTGCCTTTTTGAGCACCACCTTTTCCCTTTCTGTCTCTCTTAGCCCCGGTGGATTATTGGCCAAGTTACCCACAGTCGACATGGATGGGAGGACTGACAATTGGTTACAAACCCTAGCTTGGATGGATTTGGTTACGTTTTGGACACCTTTCTCTTGCCTTTTTTCTTCGGCAAGATAAAAAGTTGTGCTCTAAAAGATGAGAAAGAGACATTGCAACAATTTTATGTGTTGCCTACTCACCTGATGATACAAAATAAGTTGTTCTGATTCATCATTCACCAGACCCTAGCTACTTGCTTGATGTTTTTGTTTTTTTGAAAGGATATTTTCGCAGCAGTTTTTTTTTTTGTGCTCTCCCACAGGCCTGTTTGGCCTGACAGGAGGGCCTCTTCAAGGGGCGCGTAGGAGGCATATGAGAAATTTTGGAAGCCTGAAACTTTGATTTAATATCCTCGTGGATTAAGATACACAAACAGGAATTGAGAAGCGAAGACACAGTGATAGTTCGTGTTGCTGTGTTGGCATGGCAGCAGATCACGGCGAGCTGCTGGCTGAGATGGCCACAGTCGGGCGTCTGAGCGCCACTGAACGCCTGAAGCACGCCCAGAAGCGTCGCGCTCAGCAGCTGAAAGCTTGGATGCAGATGGAGAAGGATACAGCACGAGGGTCGAGGGCCAAAGCGGATAAGAAGAAGGCACGCACCACCAAAGTGACATTCCCCAATGCCATCACCCTGCTGGATGCAGCTGCCCGCAATGACCTGAACGAGGGTATGTAGAAGCTCACGCACACACAGAAGAGTCATGTTAGAGAGCCTTATATTGTATTTAGTGCTTTAATACTGCTCTTTATTAAATCAGAACTAAATTAGTCAAGTATAAGTATGTGAAGGAACTCAAGACAGGATGGGTGGTCTCAGACTATTACTGTACTATACCAATCTAATCCAGTGCCTTCTCACCTAGTGAAATGACCATGTTGTGAAAGCAGGTCCGTTCGAAAAGTCATGGGATTATATAACACCTGCATTTTGTCTTCTTTGCACTTATCAGGCAGTGGCCCGGTGCGCCGTAAAACCCACAAATAAAAGGAAGTTATTCATGCATAATTAATACTGAATACGTCACACTTTAATTATCATAGGCCTGGCATTTTGTTTTCAGTGGCTTTATTCAGCCGCACGATCAACGCTCATTATAGTGGCAAATCTTTTAAGTTCATTGTTATTCTATACACACAGACACAAACACACCCTAACTTGGTGTCATTTGTTGTATCTATTTATAGCAGACAGATGCGTGCCAAGTGTTGAAACGCTTATGTGGAAAGGACTCTGCCCAGGTGGCCAGTCATAATGCCGCGTGTGTGTGTGTTCATGGGTGTGTACGGTTGTGCTTCTTCTAGTGAGGGAACTGCTTAACACCGGCATCAGCCCAGATCTGGTCAACGAGGATGGACTGACAGCCCTGCATCAGGTACACAAACACATTGTTGTGGGAGTCACCAGTGGACATGGTCCTTCAGAGGCTTTTCACCTGCAAACGCTGCTAACTGTGGTTAACTGAAAATTTTGCCTCAGCTAATTATACCATTATGTTCATTTATCACCTTACTCACAGCGCACCAGAAAAACATAACCTTGAAAATGTGTCACCTGGCATTTTTACAAAGCAGAGGCCATATTTCATGATGTAAAAGGCATTCTCAAACAGTGTAGATAAGATTTGTATTCATTAAGGAATGATCTGTATTTGTAAAATATAAATAAATAAATAAATTATATCAGCACTGAGGTTACACGGAGAAACCAAAAGAAGAAGTGCCTTCGTGAATGTGTGTACAGATACAAAGCAGAAAACTGTCTGTAAAACTCAGTGCTCAAAGTTCCCACGCTGTGTGTGACGCTCAAGTTACAAGTACAGATTTTGACCCTTTTTTTTTTTTATACCTGAATCTGATTGGACACTGACAGTCCAATCACAGACTCCAATCAGAGGACACATGGTACTGTTAACTACATCTCTGCCACAGGTCCTGAAAGGTGTAGTACCAGCTAGGTTTGCATACATACACACCATGTTAAATGTTTTCCATTATTTTCTACAGCATCATCAAACCTTTCAGGATCTTCGCAAAAAGCACTTCCTCTTTCACAGTTTCTTTATGTAACATCACCACAGACATTATTTGTTCAGTTTTTTCACGGTCTCTTTTTTTCCTACAAAACAAATAATTTCTACATATGCAAATTTTCTTTTTCGTTTTTTTTTTTTTTTTTTTTTTATAAATACCAATCTTTTCTACACATGCACAAACTTGAACTTGAAACAGGTTTACAAAGGTTGATTGCCAACTACAAACTTTGGAATTTTTTGTGAACATCACTTTACAAGCCCAAAATCCTTTTTGAGCCCATAAAATCCTCCGGTAATAATCTCGTAATGGGTTCAAATTCAGGAGCAAAATTGGTCGTCATATCCAAAATGAACACCTACCCACATCCTCTAAACACATTCCACATGTAAACCAAATACTGTACATACACTGCTTTCATTATTTAAGCCATTGAGATGCCTTCCAGTTATACATTCACAGGCACCCTCTCCCATATGTTCATCACCATATATAAGCACAGCCTAGCAACAGCTATTAAATTGCTTACACAGTTTTACACTCTGTGACTCCTCTTAACAAGGCAGGTCACCTTTAGTGCAGCGTGTGTGTTTATGTTGTGTACGGTCAGCTTTGTGCTCACTAAGTACTGTTTGCCTTTATTTCGTCTGAACTTTAACTTATCTTAAGTCAGCTAACATAAACACACTGATTCATTCCCACCGTTTTTAGTTTGAGGAGGTTGGAAGAGTGAGGGCAACTTTCCTTTCCTGAACAGTTAGTCACATTCAGAAGAAACCATCATCAAGATTCTTCCCTGTGTGTTTGGGAGCTCGAAACACACAAATCTAAAATTAAACTGCAACCTTTGTAATTCTCTCTTTTCTTCTCTTTCTAATTTAACGCATACACATTCAACTACAGACTCATGAGAGGGGTACTTGTGAGCACAGTGAACTCTTTATAAAAGCAGTTGACTCTGCTCTTCCCTTGGAAAACTTGGTATTTACACAGCAGAGGGCTGGGCCATGCATGCAAATTTTTCTTTTTATTACAGTGGCCGCTGTATTAGTTGTCATAAATAATGATGCATAGATTTCCATTCTCTTTGTGCCTATACTATATTTTTTCCATATTTGTCTGTGCCTGTTCAGTCAATTCATCTGTATATACATTTTCTTACATATCTGCATTTGCCCTCTTTTCTTAGTGCTGCATTGATGACTTTGTGGAGATAGTGCAGTGCTTGCTGGACGCTGGCGCCTCTGTGAATGCCTGTGATAGTGAGTTATGGACACCACTGCACGCTGCTGCCACCTGTGGACACACCGGTCTGGTGCAGCTCCTGATTCAGGCGTGAGTTTGGCCATGAATGTCATAACTTTACTCTAATTCATAACCTTTCCTTCCCACAGTAAGTTTTTCCTACAGTTATATTAGTAACAATGTTAAAAGTAGAAATTCCTAGGATGACATTGATGGGTCTATGATAAATGTTGCTTAATCCTTCCATTCATGGATATTATTCTCTAGATAAAAGTACAAACAGACTGAGAGTCTTCTTGGCCAGACTTTCTAGTTTACATAAACAATGCAAATATGGCTGCAGCCTGATTGTCAGAACACTTTGCAAGTATGTGAATATTCCTGAGTGGCTTTGTACATGTGGGTGTGTCACTGTCTAGTACTCTAATCCAATTGTTTTTGCCTATTTGTGTATGAATGCTTCTAGTGGGGCTGACCTACTGGCTGTCAATGCGGATGGCAACATGCCCTATGACCTCTGTGAGGATGAGGCCACCCTCGAGCTGCTGGAGATGGTTATGGCTGAACAGGGTCAGTGTGTTCAGCTTCTCTGGAGATACACGTAAAACGTCAGACCTTCACAGAGAAAGGTGTTATGGGTAACTCTAGGTGACAGAGGCGCAGTGCATTGCATGGACCTCCATGTCCAGAAAGCTGATTGGTTGATTTAACTCCTGTCAAGACAGGGGTTCCAAACCGTGATGAAAACAAACGTTAACATATGATGTACAAGTATAAAAGAAACACTCACCTACATGCAGCCTGGAGAAGTGTAATTCTTGCTTCAGTCAAATCAAAGCTATTACTGACATGTCACATTGTTAAAGTTTCTTTAACAGCATTTTACTCTTTACTGTGAGCTTGTAGAGCAAGGTCACAGAAGAAAAAGAGATACATGAAGGGAAAATGTCACATTTTGTGTACATATTAAATCAAGTGCTACACTTTAATGACCAAATGTCCAAAACAGAAATTCAAACAAATGTCTTTACTCTGAAACTAGGCTAACTGGTATCTTTGTTTCTTTCTGTGTGTGTGTGTGTGTGTGTGTGTGTGTGTGTGTGTGTGTGTGTGTGTGTGTGTGTGTGTGTGTGTGTGTGTGTGTGTGTGTGTGTGTGTGTGCAGGGATAACTCAGGAGCGTATAGATGAATGCAGAGGGGCTAAAGAGAGAGCCATGCTGGCTGACATTCGGGCTCTGGTTCAGAGCAAAGCAGACTTAAACACTCAGGACGATAATGGAGCAACACTGGTGAGACAGAGGGATAAGTGCAGATAAATACAACTTAGGGGAAAATTTAAGCTGCCTACACAGTGTGATGTAATTAAGATGTAGCAGCTCAGGGATTTTAACTGTGTTGTGTCACTGTGCATTCACAGTTGTACAAAATTTGGTAAAATCTGGAATATCAATGCAATGATTTAACAGGTAACAGAACAGTTTAAATTTAAATTAGTCTTATATTGCTCTGATACTACATAGAAACATTACTGAGTGCCAACCAACCATGACATTCAGCCAAAAATACAAAAGGTGTGGAGAACATTCAAAATTTCAAAATAGAAGACGGCAGAGACCTTGGATTGTGTTTGTTTGTTTTTTCATTTGCTTAAAGATGTAAAATGCATTCCTTGGCTGCCATTTTAGTATTATCCTATCCTACAATTTAATATTATTATATCCACTTTGTGTTCTATGTTGAATTTCTTTCCCAGCTCCATATAGCATCTGCTAATGGCTACATATCAGTGGCGGAGCTGTTGCTAGAGAACAGGGCTCAGGTGGAAGTGAAGGACTCTGATGGCTGGACACCGCTACATGCAGCCTCCTGCTGGGGACAAGTAAGTGCTGCAGACGATGAGAACCGACCACTTTTCCTAGCTAACTTATTAACAGTATACTGTTGTTTTTATTTATTCCTTAGATTCAAATGGTGGAACTGCTGGTAGCCCATGGAGCAAGTCTAAGCACCAAGTCTGTCCTGGAGGAGACGCCTCTTGGTAATGCAAGAAAGCCTTTTCGGTCTTCTGTTCTCATAGCAAAATAATGTGGATGATAAAACCTTCCACCTTCACTGATACTGATACGTAATCTTTGCCTCAAGTGTGATAACAGTCTCTGTTAAGAGGAAACAATCATCCAGACCCATTTCTTTCCTTTAAAACCTCAGTGTCTAACCTTTGCTGCTGCTGGCTTTTCAGATGTGTGTATGGATGAGGAGGTAAGAGCCAAACTAATGGACCTAAAGCATAAACACGACGCCATCATGAAGAGCCAGGACCGGCAGAAGGGCACACTGCAAAGACGAGCCTCTAGCACTGGCAGCAGAGGGTGAGAGAGGACATTAGCCCGCGATACAGAGAGCTCAAGGGAACTGGGGGGCAAAATGACACTCATAAAGGTAGAGAAATGTAGTGCTTTATGGTTACCCTCTCCTTTTTCGCCTACACAGTAAGGTGGTGCGTCGTGTCAGCGTGAACGAGCGTTCCAGTCTGTACCGACGAGAGCACCACAAAGAGGCCATGGTGTGGCAGGAGCGAGGACGACAGCCCGATCCACAAGACGACGATGAGGACAGACAGACAGACAATGAGCTACACCAGCATGCCACCATGGTGAGTGAGCTCAGTCCCGAGGACATTTTTAAGGAAATGTGTGTCATTATTAGTGATTTTGTCGCATTTTTTTCCAAAGAGTTTACAAGTTCTGTTGAATGTTGTTGTGTTTCAGGTTGCTGGTGGTACAGCGACATCACGTTTAGGAGAACTGGAGTCCGCAGACAGGAAAATAGTGTCCAGCCTAGGTAATGGAGGGACATCTGTATCCCTGGCTGCCTCTGTGCCTGGAGAGCTGCGGAGTGGTGGAGGTCTCATGGAGCGCAGCGCCTCCTACCAGCTCTGCCCTGCACCTGGAGCTGAGTCAGGGTCTAGGTCTACAGAGGGCGAGGGGACCGACAGTATGACACGAGAGAAATCGCACCACACGCTGGCTGACCTGAAACGCCAGCGGGCAGCTGCCAAGCTCAATAAATACCCTGCACCTCCACCACCTCTGCCCCCTCCCTCAGAGGAGGAGCCTCCAGTTGCAGTAGTTGAGATTACAACTACTCAGGCCCAGCCAGAGCTCCAAATGACGCCCAGTACAGAGCAGGTAGCCTCCCCAAGCCAGGTGTATTTCACCCCAGCCAGCGGAGATCCTCCACTGCTGAAACTCCGAGCGCCTGAGGAGGAACAGTCTACCAACAAGGAGCCCTGCTGTGGACTCATGTAGACAGCCTGACACACTCAGACATGCACATGAACATACTGCCTACAGAGTAGAGGAGCGAGGCATGTAACACTCCAAAGTGGCAAAAACATTTCAAAACAGACACGTTTGAAGTGAATCATTGAAGACTGTAAGCTAAGGCCACATGCCAATGAGGGTTTGATCTACACTGCATTTCACATAACTAAAGTGCAATCTATGTGCTTATTCTCTCTTTGCTTGGCTTTTTTAATCAATATTATACACTTTATACTAAAGGTCCCTGATGCTCCCGCTTAATAAGAGGCTGCATGATCAGATGAATTTATGTGGGACTACAGGTGTCCATCTAGTGACTGGGAGGAGAATTACAAGTTTCAGTGTTGCAATCACAAGCAAAGATCTGCTTTGTTCAGCCTTTTATGGTTTTGCTTTACTCATCGCTTGCTTAACTACTCAAGTAGATTCATTGAAAAGCCTTAGAATCACGTGAAAGTTGAATTATCCACATAAATCTAAATGAAATTGAATTGATTTATTTAAAATGAAGAATGAGTGAATGAGGTTAAAGTTCTGTTTTCTTTACTGAGTGACTGCTATGAAGGGTACGTTATTCTGTGTATTTGCATACATTTACATTATAAGCAAGAGGTTTTTTGCGGTTGGGAGATTACTTGGTTATGATGGTTACAGTATACCATATAACTATTCTGAATTTACATTTATACAAGGACTTTTTTCTTGCTTGATTTTTTTTTCTTGGACTGAAAATGTACTGAATAGTTTCTTTTGTTACTTTTCCAGTGCACAAAAAAGCCTAAATTTCAATATGTGTAATTGTGCAATTTGTAAATTAAATATTCTCTCTCTATTTCTATTTTTCTACCCTCTGAATGGAATCACATTATTTATTCTATCTGATATTGAATATGGCTCACAGTGTACAGTTATTGTACCTTTTTTAAAGATAAATATAATTCTATGAGGAATAAAAGTGTGAGGGCAACATATTTTTGTGTTAACAGAAATATTGAAGAGATGGTAGATAGATAGTTTTATTGTCAAACCAAGTAAACTTGTCATGGTAATCTATCAAAGGTCGGTGCCTTCTTTAGGTGGCAGATTTGACATAGGTTTGCAATACTTGCACAAAGTCCCACATGTTAATTTGGTGAGCAGTGCGATTAAACGACCTACCAGACATGGACTCCAATTTGATGTACTGTCAATGCACTCCAATTTCTGTATTACATTTCAGTTTTATTAGTGATTTTTACTGAGCCCTGTTTAGAAAAACAAAACATAAAATTCTTTTCAAAAAAGGTTTTTTGTATTTTTCTTTCTTCATGCAAGTGGTCTTATTTAATGGATCTGGACATTATGATTTATGTCTATTGTTTGAAGAGAGGGAGCTCAGATGAACATGTTTGGAATGAAAAATTTTATCGCAACTTACATGTTTGTTTTTGGATGTTTTTATACATTTCATTTAAAAAAAAAAAGCTTATACAGCAGTATAGGTTTAGACCTGTGTTGGAAGCCAGGTCAGGGTCAAAAATAGCGTCATGGTGAGAGAATGAGATACTTACCTTCTTTACATGAGTTGTTAAGGTTGTCTTCCCCTTGTGGTAAAAATGAGCTGTTGCACAATTTACACACTTAACCACTGACGCCATTTCTTCTTACGTCATACACTCACTCACTCATTGTAAGCACATCTCGAATATCACAGTACGTCCTGATCCATCTGCCAGGGCGCCACATGATCCACATAGTAAACACTTCAATACTCATAAGTTACAGTTACTGAGTATTACAGTTGTAAAACTACATGGACTATGTTTCAGGTTATTATAACATTAAGAGTTGTAGAGCTACCTTTAAAAACTTGTTTTAGTGGTCTTCCTTTAAGATGTACCCACAAGATTTACACACACAAACACACTTACATGAACACAGACACTGTCCAGGTCATGTTGTATGTGGCCTTTGCAACAGTTGTGCATGGGGTGTGTTAAAAATGGAACCTACTTATGTTCTGAGTGTGAGCCAAGGCTACTGACCTACTAGGATTGGTCCTGTAAATCTTCAGATCCTCATATTTGAGTAATTAGGGAGTTGTTTTAAAGTATTGATGTTGATGTGTCATTTAAAATTATAGGCTAAATGGAACAGACTGTGTTGTGTGATGCTGCCAAAATACACAACATGACACACCGTTGTCAGCAGGGCATCACATGTTTATATATGAACTGTTTTAGTTTGGCGTATCAAATGTCTTTCCTAAGCCCGTTCCAAGACATCTGGGGGGTTTCTCTGTTTCACACTCTGTCCTTCTCATACAGACATTTACATTTTTGTCTTGCCCAAACAAAAGATGTGGAAAGAATTATTTTTGTACACCAGCGTCATCCTTTGATATTCTAACCTCTTTTATTAACTTGTCCCTCTGCATTCTCAACTCGATAGATGGCTTTTCTTGAGTGACATGATTCCCTTTGCTGTTCCCAGATGCAGGGTCACCGTCCATATAAGGGAAAATGCGGGTGTGACATCATCTTAAGCTTACAATGCAGGGGAATGCAGAGATGGCTGTCCCACACCTATATGCCAAAACTGTTTGTCAGACTGGTTTCAAAGTCTTTTTCACCTTCTCTTAAACTGAAGCAGTCATCTTGGCAACCCCCTAACCCCTAACCCCAAACATAGTGGGGTCAGAGGTCAGCTCTGCTGCACACTATTTGAAGGAGAGATACTACCACAAGATTTGCTTATAATGGGTGTGAGCTACTGTCTATTTTTTGTCAACCCAATTTTATTTAGAGAAAATCTATATCAACCTTTCAATTTAAGGTTTTTTCTTTAAAAAAAAATCTCCTTGTACATAATGCAGGGCACATAGAGATTAAAGGATCTCTGACAAAACCTGCTGCTCAAGTTCCTTATAAGACCAATGCAACACACCCTAGCTGTGCAGAAGTCCGTTGTAAGATATACACCCTTATCTCGCAGCGGCAATCACAAAACCCTACATGTGTTCATTTACACACGAGAGCCTTCTACAAAAGCAAACAAGTATCACATCAGTGCTGGAGAGTAACTCCATTTACTCAATTACTGTATTTAAGTACAACTTTCAGGTACTTGTACTTCACTGAAGTACTTGTAACCAACACTTGTGCAGTTCCCCATTGCACAATGTAGCAATATAACATCTTCCAGCTTTTTGTTTTGCTTTTATTCCTGTAGCTTTGCTGTTTCGGTTCAGTCTTACCACTTTCATCATTCTGGTTTCCAGCTGTTTTTACACAGGAGACAGACAAAGTTAGCAGTAAGCTGATGAACTATTTGGACTTATATTGGCCAGGTGTAAAAAAAAAAAAAACAACAATTTCAAGAAATGCTAATGTTGTTCTGTCTGCTAGAGGTGTGAATGAGCTGCCATAAATACCATGTTAACTATATCAACTTTGTAATGTGCAGAAAATTTAGTCAGTGTTGTGTTTATAGCTTGTTCTGCCACCCCCAAGAGATTAGGCTACCACTAAAAATAAATGAGCCTACTACCACATTAATTTAGAAATTAACTTTAAATTTGGGTGTAAAGCAAATCGTGTTTCTCAGAGTGATTCCAATTCATTTAAAAGATGGTTATTACAGCTTATTTTGCTTTTACAAGTAGTGCCTTACCAGAAATTTCAGCCCTCCTAAATTCAAATTATTATGCACTGGCAATTACATCTCTTTACTATTGTTCAGGTAAGTTAATTAATCCATTAACCCCTAAAAGTTGCCTTTTAAACTTGAAAGCTTTTCATATAAAGCTGCTTCTTTCCCATTGCAGCATGCGAAGGCCCCTTGCATTTAAGTGTTATTTTCCCGACAGCACTTAAACGTGTCATTTGGCACGCTAAGGCCAGAGGGGAACCGAGTGAAGAAATCCAACCAACCACGAGCAGAAGCGAGCGAAGGCGGGGCGGTCGGGTGGGAATATGAACACGGAGAGACACAAACTGTCAGTTGGAGTAAACACACGAGCAGAAGCGGCTCCAGTTCCACTCTCCCGTGACCAACTGGTAACAGCGAGCACACTGTTTCCGCTTATGTACAGTTACATTTAATGTTTCTGCTTAATGTAACTATTTCTTAATCTTTTATGTTTCAGATATCAGTCCAGCGTGCGGCAGCGACGGAAAACAGCGTGCGCGTGACATTACAAAAATGTCCCAGCAGGCAATGAACGGGGTCCCGTCCCGGGGCAAGGTGCTGACTCTGGATAACATGAACCCAAATGTGAAGCGGGTCGAGTACGCGGTCCGAGGCCCCATAGTCCAGCGAGCGGTGCAGATAGAGAAGGAGCTGAAAGAGGTAAAGACAGGTGCAGGGCTGCAACTTGCCTTTGTGCTCAAGGAGCGGAGAAAAGTTTGATCATGTAGGCTACGTGAAAAGCAGAAAAACGTGAAAAGAATTTTAAAAAGTTGGTGCAGTAGAGACTTACATTAAGTTATGAAAGGCTGTGTACATTATTGAAGTCATATATGTGTAACTTTTCTTATGGACAGTTTCAATGTGACAGATTCCATTTTTGAGAAAACCGGCATTGTGAAATCAAATCATGCGTGTCTGTGTGGGGGATAAATAGAGGAGGAACAGGGGGAAACTGCACAGCTGTTGATCCACTTCAACAGCTGGAATTTGACAGCAGCCAGATAGGCTACTGGTCATTTTTAGCCTAAAGTTCGTAGTTTTATCTTTGATGTCAAACACCTTTTGGGAATTCCATTTTTATTAAAAACACTGCAGCTCAAAAAATATTAAAAATGCTTATCAATTGATTTTGCTCGCACCAGCTATGGTGGACTAAGCAAAAAAAACAAAAAAACAAACTCTTATTTCCTTGTTCTGTTTCCTTGAGATATGGAAAGAAATTAAAAAGAGAGGAAGGAAAAGTAGGTTACCCTGACAAAAAAGATGTTTGCTGTGGACAGCTTTTGCTGACTGGCTGAGAGATTACAGACATGACACAGACAGTAGGTCAGCTTTTAAGAGTCCTGCATGTCAGCTGTAGTGTGTCCGTTATGTTCTGCTTCTGCACTGCCATGCAAAACAACTCATATTACACTATGCTGGGCTGATAACAAATGAGTGTAAATGTAACATTGATGTACAGTGATTTCCTAAGGAGGGTCAAACAGGTTGAACATGGAGGTTTGATGCAACCCTCCCTGCAGTTACATACTCTTCTCAAAACACGTAATGAGCTGGGTGTGGGGGGTGGGGGCTGCAGTTCGAGCCGGCTTTGAGAACATTTCACTTTTATCTAGCCTGAGGTGGCTGTAGGATTGCGAGAGTGGAGGATGTGTATACTGTGGATGGATATTACATAAGAAAAGAGGGTACATTCTCTGTCCTCTTTTGTCTCTCTGGCTTTGCCTACCTCCCTCCTCCCCACAGGGGAGAGAGTTCATTGGACTGAGCTGCAGCTGTGAGGCCCAACAGCGTCTGAGGCCTTTCTCTGCAAGGAGGTTCAATACAAGCAGCCACAGTTCTCCTGAAAGTGCTCGGGTTCTTAGTAGTCCACTTGTTTTTCCTCTACTTAAAAGAGGAAAACCAAAAAACAAACCTATTCTTAATGTTTGACTGGAATAAGTAAAATCTTGCTGGAATGCCCTAAGCATCTTGCTAGGAATTATAGCGGTTTATATTTATAATATTTGAACATATGAATATTTTATATATTTGTATAGACAGGTCATATCCAAAATACAGAAGAGAGAGTGTAGTTTTAGACACAAACATTAGTTTAGACAATCCTGTTTAACACATGATTTGAAAATAGTGTGTTACATTAACAGGAGTTGCTTTAAATAGTGTGTTTTTCCTTGCTGAGAAGCAAACATAAAGTTTCCTCTTTTCCTTTTACTTTCACCTGTTAAGTGGCACCACACGCAGCAATGCAAATGTGGGTATATAAAAAAAACAATCTGAAATTGTAAAGTCCAGGAGTTTTCTGCGAGGTCAGGAGGGTTTGTATGGCAGCAGTTGCCCAGTCATCTGGGGGCTTACTTCCTGTCAGATCTGTGACTGGAACACTTTTACTGATGGCTCAGCAGATTTTATGCAAGTGTGTTTGTGCATGCGTTTGCTGGTGTGGTGATGACCCTTATAAATCCTTACCCAGACATCTGGCATGACAGTGCCTGCACTGCAGTGAGCTAATTCAGGCTTGGATCTCAGCTGCTGGCAAGTCTGCATTGTCTGTGACAATAAAAGGGTGACAGAGCAAGAGATCAGAAAAAGAATCCACCTGTACTTTCAGATAAATCCTCTTTATCCTGCGACTGTGCTCCTTTTTTTCTGAGTGAATTGAGTTTCATCTCAGTTGACATCTTGTTAGAAATATATTGAGTTAGAAAAATCACATGAGCATGGTTATTTCTCAATTTGCATCAGTTAGAGATTGAAATAGTACAGTTCCAGACAGTTATTCCAGCATGCCTGAACAGTCTTGGAGGGATGACAGTTTCAGATTACATCATAAGACTAAGTAAAATGTGAATTCAGGACAGTTGTCAGGCCAGGCTCTATTCAGCCTGGTGACCCACAGGGTTTCTTGGCCTGGTTCACTGGTCCGGCCTGTGTAATCAGTGCCTGGTGCTGACTGAGCAGGAGAACTCAGCGCTGAGCCGGGGAGGCGACTGGCTTCTCTCTTTCCCAGAGAACAGCAGCCTCTTTGTTGCTCGAGAGCAGGCAGGGACAGGGACTCAAAAGGAAACGTGCTGCATCCAGTTACTTAGATTTCAAACGAGCTCACTTCGAACTTAACGCTAATCCAAAGAACCTTGTAGATCTTACTCTTGCTCTTGCTCAAGGACACAGAAATAATAATATTGACTCAGTTAAAAGGAAAATTCTCCCTGTGTCCTTGGATGCCTTTTGCCTGGTATTTTATCTTGTAGAAGACACTGAATCATGTCAAGGATCATGTAAACAGCATGAGCTTTGAAGACATTTAAAAAGACACATAAATGAGTGTCCTGTAACTTTCCTATGATCTGATGGCTCAAGTTATGTAAAGGTTAAAAGAATGTGGGAAGGAAAGACAGAGCTGGCTAATTGTGCTTTATTCCTTTGGGGTTTTTTCTGTCCCAACCTCTCCAGAGTGACATGACATACAAGATTTGTGATAATGGGCTGGCCTGGGAAGTAATATACGGAGTATATTACGACTATACAGTTGACCTAAATTCTGTATGGGGAACGTTATGTAGTTTTGAGCGGCTGACTCACACATCCTCAAACACTCAAGGCAGGTTCCAGCAAAGACTGTGCTGGCAAACAACAGACAATTATATGACAAGATGATTGCCCGGTGCAATAGTTGTTAAATTTGTGATTCAGTTTGTATTCTAAAACTCTAAATATTTCAAATAATGTTATTGGGAGTTTTCAGTTTTGTTAGTTTAATGATGTCCTTTTGAACGCACAAACCATCATGCCAATAAAATCCTTGTGAGTATCATGTATATCTATTTTAACCTTGTCGCTCATCTATTGTCACATTACCTCACTTGATAAAGAGCAACAGGTGCAGCATGTTGTTCCCAGCAAACAGACAAACACCAAACCAGAGCTGGCAAGATCCAATTTGGAACAACAACAGATAAGAATAAAGGACATGCTGATTTAAAAGAGGGGAACAGTGAGTGGATCGAAGGAGAAAAGTGGTGAAATCAAATGAGGAGATGAGGAATAAAATGAAATAATCCAAACTCGTTAAGCCAGCAATTCTGGAGTAATACCCCGACCACAAACAGTGCGGGGTTTGTGTTTCTGTAAGCCCCAGCAGCAGCAGCAGCAGCAGCAGCATCAGCAGCAGCAGCGTCATCGTTGCCCAGGCCGGCGGCTCCTGCTCCAAAGGCCAAACCACACTCCAGCCAGGGTCTTTGCAAAACAAAAGCGTGCTAATGAGAAAAGATGCATGCATGGGTGTTCAGGGGACCAAAGGGTACCGGTCTGTGTGAGATGAATACAAGTGGCTGTGATTTGATTTACACACTGAGCCATCATGCTGTAACAACACAGAGTGGTGGGAGATGTGATGTACTGTAGTTATTAGACTTTGAAAGATTTCATTTCCCCAGCACAGAGAGCCTGTGCTTTGATCTGAAACACAGGTGTTGAAAGAATGTCTGAGGCCTGCAGCCAGGTTAGTAATGCTGATGGGCGCTATAGAGTCTTGAGCTCATGTCTCTCCTTCGCACTTTTACATGTCCTGACATATCCTCTTCGTTGTAAAGCCTGTGATTGTGTGTAAGAATGAAAAACAAAAAACCAACATTCTTGCTTTTTCCACTGTCTCTGTATTTATCTACACCTTCTGTAACCCCAACCCTGTCCTGAAAACCTGATTCTTACACTTCTCTGTTTTTATCTCTTCAGGGAGTCAAGAAACCTTTCACAGAGGTCATCAAGGCTAACATAGGCGACGCCCACGCCATGGGCCAGAAACCAATCACATTTCTCAGACAGGTTGGTGCATTTTTTCAGTTTTGCCTCCAGTCATTTGAGTGGTTGTGTTTCATAAGCTGTTAGTACTCATAATTATAGTTGTGTGTGAAACTGGATTTTCTACTCTCACATACACCACTGGTCTAAAGCTTTTAGAACAACTCCATTCTTTTACAGACTGAGGGTTTGTGAGTCATCAACAAAAGTTGGGGCCAAGAATTGTTTCATTTACTTCCACTGGGTTGTAGTAACACTGCATATAGAGGCAATGTTTAACTAATTAATTCATTAATTTTTATTTACCTTGGTGTTGTCTGTGCTGTGTGTTAAATGTGTGTTAAATATGACTGATGACACCAAACTGAATTTTACCTGCGGGTACAAACATATAACCTAACCTACTGATACAGGAAATCTGTTAATCAACCAGTTTCCTAATCCCTGTTAAAACCCCGTGTTTTGTGTCATTTACATAATTGTTCAGTTCTTGGTAGTTTACCACTTGCTTTTGCACTGCTGAGATTTCAATAAAAACTAGAAAACTGGGGATGTTCTCAGTCTGATGAACTTTGCAGAATCTATAGGACATCTGTTAATGTCAGATATGTTGTGATTGTTTTGTCCTCCTCTCTCAGGTCTTGGCTCTGTGCTCTTACCCTGAACTCCTGGAAGACAACAAGTTCCCCGAGGACGCCAAGAAAAGAGCGCGGCGTATCCTCGAGGCCTGTGGAGGCCACAGTATAGGTCAGACAACTCCCCATTATTCCACCAACCACATTCACATCGTCGCCTTTCAGCACACGCGTCACTAGCTTCTCCCTTCATTTTTGTATTCATTAATAATTTATTTGGTCAGCCTGAGTCTGTACAAACATCAGCTGATATAGCATGTTCTATGAGAATCAAAGTTCATTTTCTTGTGTTCTAGGGGCCTACAGCGCCAGCCAGGGGATCGAGTGCGTCCGTCAGGATGTGGCGTGCTACATAGAGAGGAGAGATGGTGGAATCCCCTCCAGCCCTGACAACATCTACCTCTCCACTGGGGCCAGTGATGCCATTGTGGTATGGGTTACACTTCTTATTGTTCCTGATAGAAGTGAAGTGCTGACATTGTACTTTGGAGCAGATTTCCCAGAACTGTTTTACGAGTTGATGCAATACTTTAATCCAGCACACATTGCACTCTTTTGGTATAATTGGCCTGTGAATCTGTTCTTGATTCAACTTCTGTTAATTATATACTCAGCTGTACTTTGCTCATCTGTGACTTCAGTCCACACGCAGACCTTTGTCACAATCAATACAGCGTTCTCTGGTTTTATGTAACCTAATCAGGCTACTGAATGACCTTAAGATACACTCCACAACTGCACCTAAGTTATCTATTGATGCCTGCAGTGTTGAACTGTGACGTGTTTGGCACAGAGTGTATACTTGTAGGTGTGTCGGTTTACTCTGCTGTTATAAAGTAGATCACCTGTTACATATTGTCCTCCAGCTTGCTCAATACAGCTACTCTTCTTCTTAATTTACATGAATATCCTGCCAATCCGTATACATTTTCCAAAATAAAGGTTTCTGTTCCTTCTACCTCCCCACACCTTCTAATTCCAGACCATGCTGAAGTTGCTGGTGTGCGGTGAGGGTCGAGACCGTACAGGAGTGATGATCTCCATCCCTCAGTACCCTCTGTACTCGGCCGCCTTGGCTGACCTGGGTGCAGTGCAGATCAGTTACTACCTGGATGAGGACAAGTGTTGGAGTCTGGACGTCACAGAGCTCAGGAGAGCCCTCAATGCAGCCAGGCAGCATTGCAATCCTCGTGTCCTCTGCATCATCAACCCTGGAAACCCCACCGGTATGTCTGGTGTTAGCAGTTTCTCCATATGAAATGAAACAGTGGCTGGAATTTTTTATCAATTAAACATAGCAAATATGGAGTTGATCCACTTTGTTATTTAAAAAAAAAAAAAAAAAATCATATCTTAGGTGGAAAATTCTTGGGCATTGTAGACATCACGCCATATTTTGAGATTTGGTTTTCCTTCTGTCTGTACACTGGTTGTCCTGTTTGGCAGGTCAGGTCCAGAGCAGGCAGTGCATTGAAGATGTGATCCGATTTGCTAAAGAGGAGCATCTCTTCCTCATGGCTGATGAAGTAATTCACAAATGTCATTTGCTCTTTTCAAAAGTTTTTTTTACTCACATTTTCTTCTGTCCAATAATGAACAATAAATCACACATGGGAGAAATTTTAAGAATCTTTCAAGCATGTTGCACTTCAGGCTTCAGCTGATGTAAAGTGACATTAAAGCCGTTTTTTTTTTGTTTTTCAAAGGCTGACCGCCTTCTTTCACATCACTATGCAGGATGCAGCCAGAATTATAATATGCTATAATAAGTTTTGCCCCCCACACAGAGCAGCACAACGATCAATTTTCTGCAAATATGCCATCCCACTCATGTATGTGCACTAAACAGGGTTGACAAAACATAGAAACACCTCTGAATGTAATGGAATCAAGTACAGCACCTGGACTAACTACAGACTATGGTCACATAGACTGAAAAAGTAAAGAGAGACAAAAATGTACTTATGTATTATCCTTTTAGATGACTGAATACCTTTTCAATTCATTTAATTCATGATGTACAGAGGTTAAATACAGTACATCATTTGCTATGTGCTATCTTCTTGACACTTAAAGTCAACTTTTGTAGCGAACCTGCACAGTTCAGCTAATTCTTATGTACAGATGTTTTTTTTCTAGATTTTGTTTTTTATGAATAATGATGTGTTTTTAATAAGGCTGTCTGTATTTAAGCTACTTTCCCATTTTAGGTCTACCAGGATAATGTGTATGCAGAGGGCTGTAAATTTCACTCCTTCAAGAAGGTGTTGTTTGAGATGGGACCAGAGTACTCCAGCACAGTGGAGATGGCCTCCTTCCACTCCACCTCCAAATGCTACATGGGAGAGTGAGTAGCCAGACACACACGTACACATAGAGTAGACGTGTGTACATAGATCAGTTTTTTTCTATTTCTATTTAAAGGTAACCTGTGGAGTTGTGTTTTGTTCACCTCACACACAAGCACGTGGGTGTCACAATACACAGCCCTGCCAATGGTTTCACACTATGAACGCTGATCTACGAGTGGCAATAATGTGCCAAGAAACGTAAGAATTCTCAACAAATGCCTGAAATTAGGTTTGATTTCATCTGCAATTTGTAATCTTTACATCATTAGCTTCATGAGTGAATTATCAGTGTTGCTGACTAAACTTTTGCGAGATGATTCTTTTTGTTTGAAACAATATGGAGTCTCTAGGGGCAGCTGTTCACAAAATCTTTTCAATGGACACGACTTGCTAGCACCTATTTTACAATAGTTTAGTGTTAATATGTAGATTGAACCTAGCTAGTATTACAATAGTCAGCCATTGATAAATGAAGCAGTATTTCCTTTCTTCCATCTTCACATGTTGCTGAGGATGAGAGTGAGTGGTGAGCTGATAAAGCATGATGGCTAAAATACTATAAAATAATATATATCAAGCAATCACTTGCAGCAGTTTACAGGTGGTATTTATTACAGTAGTTGTTCCTTATTGCAAAGGACAAAATGTCTTCTTTTGCATTTGTCTTATGCCTAAGCCACAGTAAACACCTAAACTACTAAGAAAACACAGTTTTGATAATGATAATATAATATCTTATATATCAGCAAATCTCAAAGTAAAAGTTCAACTGATTGTTCTCAGTATATTTGCTTAAAACGTAGCATGATTATATAACATAATTTATTTTAGTTGTGGTATGAAAACGATAACAACAATAAACAAACAATACAGGATTTAGAATGTT